GCTGTCCGCAGCCGATCCTCACCGCCATGCTCCTTCTACCTGTCCTGTGCACGCAGGCACTCTGGTGTACGCCAGCGCTGCGTTGCACGTGGATGCTATGGTATAGACAGGCGGTGAGGTGTGCACAGGCGCTGCGGTGCACGTCAGCATTGTGTTGTTGTAGACAGGCGCTGTGTTGCACATGGCTGCTGCGGTGTACACATTCGCTGTGGTGTGCACCGGCGCTGTGGTGCACGCAAGCACTTTGGTGTGCACAGGCGCTGCGTTGCACACGGCTGTTGCGGTTTACGCAGGCGCTGTGGTGTACACAAGCGCTGTAGTGCACGCGAGCACTGTGGTGTACACAGGCGCTGTGGGGCAGATCGCAACCTACATGATGCTCCCGTCGTCGTCGTCGTCGTCGTCGTCATCGTCGCTCATCGCTCGTCGCTGATCATCGTCGTGCGCGCGGGCGCGGTTGTGGTGCCGGAGCCATACGGCGGGGGGGGGGGGTACGTCATACCCCCCCCTGTCCCCCTCCCCCATGACGCCCGGCATCGCCGATAATAAAGAAACGCGCTCGAGGAGTCCTGTAGATGCGTGGGATCGATGGTCTATCAAAGCAATGTGTTCAGCGCATTCGATCGTTCAGCCCCCAAGGGCAACGGCAAGGGCGTGCTCGAAGAGGCCGGCGAGAAGGACCCGGTGTTGTGATACCTGGTCGCGCCGTCAGCGCCGCTTGCACAGTGAGCATGTCTCAGAATCGGCACCGCCCAACGTCTCGGCATGGGGGAGTCGCCAGACTTGATCCCTGTGTGTACGATCCCGTCTCGTATGTGCATACCAGGCTGGCCACCGAGGGACAAGCCACGGTTTTAGTGGCCCGTAGTCTTCTCATTCCGCCTTCCCTCTCGCCGCTTCGCTCATCCTTGCTTGCTGCTGCGGTTGCTTGCTCCTTCGGACATCTCATGATTGCCATTTCTGGCAGTCTCACTTGTACAGGAATCACATGACATACGAAATCGGCCTGCCAGCAGGTGCCCAAGGAACATTTCCCATCCCCCGATGGCCCCCTCAAAGATCGAGATGTTAAATTTGAAGATCAGAGCTCCCGGCCCGCCTTGCACACCCTGTGCAACGTGGCCGCAAGGCCTAAAGTCAGCGAGCGAAGAACGGTATAAAATAAACTTTTTCGCCGTCGGGGACACCTGCCCCAGGGCGGCTGGCAAGTTTATACCCATACGGCGCCACCGTAAGGGTATAAACTTTCCAACCGCCCTGGGGCAGGTGTCCCCGACGGCGAACAGTTTATCTTATACCGTTCTTCGCCCGTTAATAACGTGAGCTGGTGCTCCCTGGGTATCCGGCCGCGTACCTTCGACGGGTGACGACTGCATACCGCAGCCGCTAGGCCCACTGTGCCCGTGCTCCCTGGGCAGACCGCCTCGCCTTCTTGGGCGGGGACCCTTTGGCGCAAGACAATGTCTTACAGCAGTATTGTAGTGGCCTCTGGCCAGTGCCGCCGATCCGGGGTGCTGCCGATTTTGCTTGCAACGGATAATCTTTTTTGTGTTCAAAAGTGGAGCACTCGCTCGAGACATCCTCATAAGATAAAGGTGCTGAACTCGCTTGGGCAACCTTCGGATATTCGAAAGTGACGATCTCGCGTGAACAGCCAAACTTATGGGATGTTGACGTAGCTGATGTATGACACCTTTGGGGGGCGCTCCTGGGCTTCTCGGGTGCTCTTTGGAGGCATCCTAGAGGCTTCGTGGGGGCGCGCTGGAGGAAGTTTTTGAATCTCTTGGGGCCTTTTGGGGGCCTCCTTGGGGCTTCTTGGACCGTCTTGGGTCCTTCTTGGAGCCCTCTTCGGGCGTCTTGGGCCGTCTTGGAGCCCTCTTGGACCGTCTTGGGCCGTCTTGGACCCTCTTGGCGTCTTGGGCTTCTTGGACCGTCTTGGGCCGTCTTGGAGCCCTCTTCGGGCGTGAATGGCGTCAGCCATGGCGTCGGCCCTCCCCCCCTCTCCTCTCCCGAGCCTGAATGGCGTCAGCCCCCCCACCCTCCGACAGAGTGAAGCTTGAGCGAGCTCCCCCTCCCTCCCTCCTCCCGGGTCTGAATGGCGTCAGCCACGGCGTCAGCCCTCCCCCCCCTCCCCTCCGACTCCCCCCTCCAGGGCCTGAATGGCGTCAGCCACGTGTGATTCCTTTCGTCGTCACTACTTGGAGAGCCGACATGAAGCTTGTTTGGGCCGTCTTGTGGCTGTCTTGACCTCTCCTGTGAGGCAGTCCCGGGGGGCCCTTGGGAACCTCTTGGGCAGTTTTGGGACCATCTTGGGCCCTTCTTGGGGCTGTCTTGGGGTCCTCTTGAGCGCCTCTTGAGCCGTCTTGGAACCTTCTTGGACAGTCTTGGGGGCCTGTTGGGTCGTTTTGGGACGTCGGACGCTCGAATAGCAAGAACCCCAACAACACTGAAACGCAGTAAGTAAACACTGATGTGTGCCTCTCGAGGCCCTCTTGGGAAGGCTCTTGGGGAACCCCTGGGACGTCTCGAAGCCGTCTTGAGGTCAAAGGGGGCCGTCTTGGAGCCATCTGGGGCCGCCTTGGAGGTATCCTGGCCTCGGGAGCGCCACCCTTGCTGTATTTTACAAAGGGATTGTGACCTCGGGATCAGGGGGTGATGCGCGCAACGCCATGCGAAGGGAGGGAGTCTTAGAAGATTACAGCAACCCCGCCAGACAGCACTTGGCATTCCAGCACGCCCCTGCGTGCCAGGGGGCACGGCGAGGGGTTCTTGCATCTCGCCAGCTCGTCTCCCTTCAGAATTGCCGCCTGTGTGTGTTTTGTCTAGAGGGCCAATTTTTGTTGCGAGGGGCTGAGCTCCATGATTTGCAGCCCCGCAGGTCCAATACTCCACGCTGCCCGCTGATGCGGCATGTGCTGGAGAGTTGCAGGCGAGTGCACGGGCGCCGCAGTTTCTGCTAGACGCTGGACGGCCAGAAAGGGAGGCAGGGCCATGTCGGCGCCGCGCGCCTTCGAACAGCTGTCGGCGATCCCCCAGAGTCTATCAGCCGTTCTCAGGCCGCGAGTGTTTGGCATTCTTCGCGAGCTTGGCCCATCTCGAATCTTAGCTCATCTTGGTCGCCCTTGCAGTAGCTGGTGACAAGCCCAGGGCAGGCTCAGAGCAGCCACATCAAGGGCCAGTTGCAGCCCCGCAGGGCCAAAAGTGCCAGGATGGGGCTGAGCAGGGCCCCTCGAGGACCCCAAGAGCGTCCCGCCCCAGGTGGCATCCACATGGCCCCCATATGACTCCCAGAAGACACCTAGAGGGGCCGAGAGGGCCGAACGGCCTCATAAGTAGAACCAAGAAGGTCCAAGGACGACCCCAGAAAGGCGCAGAGAAGATCTCAAACACTGTGAGTCAGCATTCCAGAGCTTGTCGTGAATCATACCGTTTGCTCAGGGCCTTGAGGGCAAGGTTTGCCCGACGATGTTGTCCGACCTTATCCTACAACATTATCACGGTCTTCTTCTCTTCGGGGGGTGAACACGCGCCCGCGAACGGATGCGGGAGCGACCCGCCAGTCGGAATGCGAACCGCGTGCTCGGGAGCGCCCGAGGCTGAAGCTGGCAGTCATCTTGTTGTGGCAGTGTCTCTCTGCATGCGCCCGGCCGACCGAGCAGGGCCCCAGGAATCCTGGGGCCCTGCTCGGTCGGCCTAGATCCTGGATATAGTCCGAACCGATTCGCAGCGGTTTTTTGAGCTGCAAGAGTTGGATTCCAACATGCCTTCCGAGGTCTCCAAACAGACTTCGGCGGGCCTGGCATGGTGAGCGTGTTTTTGTTGTTCATTATTTGGCCGATCGGCGCGGGCCCTCGCACCCCCCCTCCGCCCCCCCACCCGTGGAGTGGGTCTTGGCTGTGTTTTTTTGGCGCCTGCTTCGGGCAGGTGGCGCCTCCCCTCATAGGACGCACGGCTCCAGACAGTCGCACTGAGCAGAGATCCAAAGCTAGGGGAACAAAAAGTGACATAAACATGAAAACTCGGAGGTCCGCGCGGATTTCTCGGATCGGCGCTGGGGCCCCCCGGCGGCGCCTCCGGCGCCGCCCCTGGCGCGCTGCGCGCGCCATGGAGGGGGGTCGTCCAGCGCCGATCCGAGAAATCCGCGCGGACCTCCGAGTTTTTATGTTTATGCCACTTTTTTGTTCCCCTATATGCCAGACCCCCACCCCTCTCGCCCAGTGTCGAAACGCCGAATCAGAACACGTTGACTTCCGAGGTCTCCACACCGACTTCAGGCGGGCCCGGCATGGACGAACACGGACCCAGGCGAGGCCCACAGCGGCCCTGAGGCAGCCGTAAATGGCAGGCTAGAGTTGCCCAAGACGACCCTAGCCTAGAAGACATCAAATGCTTCTTCAATAGGTTCCGCATGTCTCCAAAAAGGGCCAACAAGAAAGGTCAGGGCTGCTTCTCGCAAAATACCAGCGCTCTTAGAGCAAATCCGTCCCAGACTAGATAATCGGTGCGGTTGAGAGCAAGCCCGTGGTTTCACCACTGCGCCAGCTGGGAAAGCCATTCTGTCTGAATGTGGCAAGCGTCTGAAATGTCAATTGGGGAAGCAAGACTGAGCCGAGTTAGGTTCGAATCTGGCTTCCCCCAGGGTGCCAAGCTCACCTACGTGTCCTGGCACTGTCGCAAGATGTGCTGCAGAGTCCGGTCGTTCGATCAGGGAGTGGACCACAGCAATGTCAGGCAACATATGTTCACATCCTAGCAATCGTCATCAGCACGATCTCATGCCATACGCCTCGTGTGAGATAGTATATCATGACCAGCTTCCTGCGGCAGGTCCCGCCACCGTGACAGCCCAAATGCTCTCCGAGGCAGGTGTTCGAACGGCGACCGGAGGCTGCGACATGTGATCTGGGCGTCGTAACAGGTACAGTTTGCGTTGATTCGTGGCGTGACGGTCAGCACGCCGTCACACGTTACACATCGGCCCTCTTGAGTTTATCTGATTCATCGAAGGTCGTCCTTTGGTCGGAGTAGGGGAACAAAGGGAATAATGCCAACGTGGGGGGGAAAGGAGGAGGAGAAGTAGGAGGAGGAGGAGGTGGAGGAGGAATCGAAGGAGGAGGAGAACAGGAGGAGTAGAGGAGAAGGAGGAGGAGGAGATGTTGAAGGAGGGGGATGGGAAGCATCATGATTTGCGATGTGGAACACAATGACAGTGATGATGCTGCTGATGGGACCATTCGGGGCCGACTCGGGGCTCTCTTGGGCTCCTGTGAGGCAGTCTGGGGGTCCCTTGTGGCCCTCGTGAGCCGTCTTGTGGCCCTCGTGGGCCTCGGGGCGCTCCTGGACCGAGTTAGGGTCCTTGTGTCCTGGGAATTCTTGTGGGGCCGTCGTGGAACCATCTTGGGCCGTCGATGGGGCCCTCCGAGGCCGTGCAGGGGGCACTCTCTTGGGGTGGTCTTGGGCTCTCTCTCGCTCTCTTGGGTTACGATGTCCCAACCTACTTCAGCCTTGACCACCGGGAAGAAGTTCGAGCACCAGCAATGCACCGAAACTCGAGGGTGTGTTCACGTGCCGGGCCCTGGTAGACACTCGTCCGACAATGTTTCAACACTCTTTCGACACTCTTTCGACACATTTCCCGGTGCTAGAAATTATTTCTGGGATGTGGTCCTAAAGTACGATGGGAGCAACATAATGATTGGGCCGTTTCTCGAGCGCCTCTTGAGGCGAGAATGCGACACTCTGCCAACAACTTTGAGCAAACCAACGTCGTTGGCCTCTCGGTGCCATCCAGGCGGTTCTCTCGAGGTTTTGGATTGGTCGTTTGGGTTGCGCCCTGGGCCGTCTGTGAGCCATCTTGGGCTGCCTTGAGGCCGTACTGTGTCGTCTTGGGATATGGTTTCCCAAGCAGTGCTTGCACTGAAGGGGTCCTAGCGGAAATTGAAGGCTTCGGCGAAAGTGTCCCGCCGATTTTGGTGGCCGGCTGGGTTCCCGGTTCCGTGTTCCCGGGTTCTTGGTGATTGGTTCCCGGCCGATTCCGGTGTGCTCCGGGTTCTTGTATTCCCTGTCGGTTTTCTGGTCGATCAAACTATCCACTGATAGGGCTTTTACGCTGGTGTGATAGGAAGTTGTTGCTTCGCTTTTGAGGCAAGAGTAGTCTGCCCGGGCCGTCCTGGAAGCCCCTGATTGGGTTTTTTCTCTGGTGTAATATAGGAAGTTACTAGTTCGCTTTTGAGGCAAGAGTGGTCTGCCTGGGCCGTCCTGGAAGCCCTCTTACGGGCGCCTCCGAGACACCCCAGTGAGTGCCAGAGGGAGGCGCCGGGCCTCCCACGGGGCAGCCTCGGGAGGAGGGGGCGCCGCACACAGCGACGTGCTGGAAGGGGGGGGGGGTATCGGGTGTGCAGGCCCGGGGTGGGGGGGGCGCGGGCATATGCAGGGCTTTGCCCACAGCGCGAAGGTTAGGTCATCGGCCGGCCCCCTGCTTCCCCCCCCCCTGGGACAACCCAGGTTATCCCGGAGTCAATCAATGGTCTCTTAGAAGACTCCGGAAGTCATGCCAGACAGCATTCGGCATTTTGGCGTGCCTCTCAGAGGAGGAAAAGGTACCCATACCTCTACCCCCGCCCATTTTCCCCTTTTTGGGCCTCCTGAGGGGCCCTCGTCGCCACCGCTGGATTCGCCTCGAGATCCTGGTCAGAACGCACCCCCGGAGAGGTCCAGGGAGTAGCGGTATCCGTACCTTTCGGTTGCCCCAGCCTCGGCGTGGCTTGAGACACGGTGGCGGATCGCAGGTCGCGCGGCAGCGGTGACCTTGGTCTTGCAGAGGAGTCCCTCTACCTGGTACCAGGGTGGTGTCTACTTGCGCGACTTCCTTTTCCGAGTCGCGCCTTCGGGCAGGCGTTTGCAGAGAGGCCGAGGAAGAGCAGCAGGCGGTTTGGGGCTCTGGAGAGTCCAGGCCCCGTGATCGTCGTCCCGTTCTGGCAGCGGCCCACCCCTCTCTTTGGCTGTGCAGCCCATTGGTTGTCCGTCTCCGCGCCGCGGGGCAAGGCGCGGACAAGTTCGGCGCCCGTGTCTGTTCTCTGTTCGTCGCAGGGTCTCCCGACGTGGCCCGCACGCCCAGAGGGCGGCGGGCCCTCGCGGAGCTGGCGGACAGAAAAGGCGGCAGCCCTCGCCCGGGAGGAAAAGTAGCAGGAGGAGGAGGAGAACGAGGAGGAGGAGGAGGAGAAGCTCCGAACCCTCCTGTTCTGCGTGGCCTCGGTCCCTAACTGTTGGTGTTTGGGTCTACTCCCCCAGGGGGGGCACGACTGGGCCTCCCTGGGGGAAGCGGCAGTGTTCGGAGAACTCAGTTGCCGCCCTTGCCTGACTTCCTCAGGAGTAGGAGGCGGAGGAGGAGGGGGAGGAGGAGGAGGA